AGTTGCTATTTTGTAATACTGTTGGCTCAGAAACACCTGTTTTTCCAAAGACCTGTCTTCTTTAATGTGAGGTGGGTGGTCCTCCCAGCACCATTGATAAGTATGCTGGTATTTTGTTAAATACTCCACGAAAGGTTATATGTATTGGCAGAGCCAGCACACAAACACCATCTTCTGACCCCACAGCTGGTGCTTTTTACTGTATACAGTCGTCTTTGTGGAGAATGATTTGAGCAGTTCAATTATTTTATTGTCTCTAAATTAATTCCTTTGAGACTAATGGTATCAGATTAGGCCAGTTTTTTATTGCTGTTCTCTCAAACTTCCTTGCAGTGTTATTCCTATAAAAATGCTGTATCAGGGATTTGAAATTTATAGACAACAATGTCACAAAATTGAAAAAGAGAACTGAAGTAGTGATGGAATGAAAGAGATTAAAAAACAGAAAGAGGGGCTGGGGTTGTGGCTCAGCGGTAGAGTGCTCGCCTCGCACATGCAAGACCCTGGGTTCCAGCCTCAGCACCACATAATAAATAAGTGAAATAAAGGTATTGTTTCCAACTACAACTAAAAAATAAATATTAAAAAAAAAACCAAACAGAATATGTTAAGAGGGAAGGAAAGAGAAAAGGCAGATTTTTCCCATTCTCTAGTTTTGGGATTTATTTTAGGCCTTCTGGAATGGGCTGCTAACATCTTCAAAATACAAAGAATGACCTTGGAAACATTGGCTTCCAAAAGTCTGCCTGGTGGTAGTGTGGCCACCAGAGCTGTTTTTAGATTTCTTTCAGAGCCAAAGACATTTTACAACCAAGTAAAAGTAACTGACCTAACTGTCCTGGGCTATATAAATTAAGATTGCACATTTGGTCATTTTGATGGAGGTGTTATTATTAAGGTTAATATTTAGCACAGTCCCTAAAATACTGTCTTCTCCTTTTACTTTAGTGCCCTTTTGAAAAGTGCTCTGCTGTAATTTGAGTGTGCGCCCCCAAAGTTCATATATTGAATCTTAATTCTTTTTTTTTATTGTTGGTGGTTCAAAATATTACATAGTTCTTAATACATCATATTTCACAATTTGATTCAAGTGGGTTATGAACTCCCAATTATACCCCATATACAGATTGCTGAATCACATCAGTTACCCTTCCATTGATTGACAAATTGCCTTTCTAGTGTCTGATGTATTCTGCTGTCTGTCCTATTCTCTACTATCCCCCCTCCCCTCCCCTCCCCTTTTCTCTCTCTACCCCTTCTACTGTAAATCATTTCTTCGATTTGTATTATCTTGTCTTACCCCTCCTTTCCTCTTATATGTCCTTATGTATAACCCTGAGGATCGCCTTCCATTTCCATGCGATTTCCCTTCTCACTCCCTTTCCCTCCCACCTCTCATCCCTGTTTAATGTACATCTTCTTCTCAAGCTCTTCTCAAGCTCTTCGTCCCTACCCTGTCCTAAGAATCTTAATTCTTCAATGCAGCAGTTTTGGAGTTGGGGCTAGAGGAAGAATTTTGGGTCCCAAGCGGGGTAGGGCTCTTATAAATGGTCTAATGCCTTTCCCATGGGAAGGGATTAGGAATCTGGTCCCTGTTTCTCTCTAACATTCCCACTTGTCCTTCTACTTCTCACTGTGAGTTAAAGTAGAACAAGATTCTCACCAGATGCTGACACCCAATCTTCAGCTTCTCAGCCTTCGGCACAATTAGCCTAAATAAAACTCCTTCCTTTATAAATTTCCCAGGCTTTTTTTTTTTTTTTTTTTTTTTTTTTAAATAGCAACAGAAGATGGGTTAAGGCATGCCCACTTCCATTTTTTCACTTAAAGGCTTTTATTTAGGTTTTAGTGAGTTACTCTGAAATGAGTTGACTAGACCTTGCCATATGGAATTGCAGACTCAGACATACAACATGTGACCAATGTAATGAGAAGCATAATTACAAATAGTTAATGCCTTATAGAAGTAAAGGAAGAGTAAGGAGGGAATTGAAGTTGATAAACCTTGAAAGCCTCATAGAAGAAATTAATTTTTATAGCTGCTTTTTGAAAAAGAGACAGTAATGAACATTGGCTATGAGTCATCTGACCTCAAAAGGTCAAGTTGGAGGAATATATTATATTGCATCAAATCAAATCTAGCTTGATATGTTTAGCTAATCTCAGTAATTGTTAGAAGATTATCGTATGGTCTGGGAAAAATTAACAAAGATGCTTTTTGTGACCAGAGTTAGTTAATTAAATTTTCACTTAATTTGGATCAAGCTTTTTCAGCCATGCCCCTGCTTTTGCGCAGGATTGACAGGAGGTTTATCTCTGGAAGGAATTCCCATAAACGCCCTTGGTGTGATGGTATTACTTGGATCCTGTAGTTACAGGGGTTCTCTGGAGTTCCAAGGTCAATTCTTCTCACAATAATCTTTTGCTGTTTTAAACAGTTGCTCATCATCACCGTAAAATATCCTTGGTATAGTGGTTCTCAAACTGTTTGATCTCCAGTTTCTTTTATACTTAAAAATTTATAAATAACCCCCCCCTAAAATTTGTGTCCCTATTGGTTATTATATTTTTTTGAGAAATTAAAAAATATATACTTTTTAATACATTAAAATACAACAGCCTGCTGGGTGTTGTGGCACATGCCTGTAATCTCAGTGATCTGGGAGGCTGAGTCAGGAGAATCGAAAGTTCAAAGCCAGCCTCAGCAACTTATCGAGGCCCTAAGCAACTTAAGCAAGACCATGTCTCAAAATAAAAAATAAAAAGAGGGGTGGGGATTTGACCCAGTGGTTAAGTACCCCTGAGTTCAATCAATCCCTAGTGCCTAAATAAATAAAATAACAGCAGCCCATTACATATTAGCATAAACTATATATTTTAATTAAAATAACTATACTTTTTTAAAACATCAGAAAGTGGCATTTTTTTTACATTCTTACAGATCCCTTTTAATATTTGCATCTAATCTGTTGTGACATCTTGTTTTACTTAAAATTCATAAAGAAAATCTAGTCTCACACAGATATATATTTGGAAAAATGAGGAGTATTTTAATAGCCTATTCAGACAATTGTGAATTTTGCTCTTGTGTACTATATCAAAACTCTAATTACTGGTAGTCTCTTAAATGTTAGTTGCAATGTGCAAGCTAATACCATATCAGTGGACTTGTTTTTACTCTGTCACATTAAAACCCATTGGTCAAGCTGGGAAAAGTGGTGCACACCTGTAATCACAGCGGCTCAGGAGGCTGAGATAGGAGAATTGTAGGTTCAAAGTCAGCCTCAGCAACTTTAGTGAGGCCCTGAACAACTTAGCAAGGCCCTGTTTTGAAATATAAAATAAAAAGGGCTCAGTGATTAAGCACCCATGGGTTCAGTATAAAAACAAAAAAAATTGGATTAACTTGTATTTTGAATGTATGTTTTCCCCATGCCCAATTTTTTATTACCATGCATTTGGTTTTTGGAAAACACAGGTTCATTGTGTTAAGCAGATCTTCCAAATGTAAACACATTATAATTCTTTATATAATATTAACAAACACACTTGTTGGTAGTCCCATTGTGAACATCAGCAGAATATTAGGAAGCTTTCAATTACATGGTGGTAGTTTTTATTTCGCAAAATTCCTGTTTTCACTTGCATGGCCAAATTCTACCACTGACACAAATACTAGTTATTTTATTTGAGGTGAGAATATTAGTTATTTTATTTGAGGTGAGAAGCTCACTTTTTTCATTTTTAAGCCTGAGGAACAATGAGTTATCTGTCAGTTATTCTTTTGAGTAGAAGTAGTGTTTTATGAAAAAAGTAGGTAGTTCATCTGGCAAATCAAACACATACACAAATGCTTTTTCTAGAAACAACAATCATACTTCAGTTCCACAGAAGTGCTGCAAATATACTTCCTATTTTATCACAGAGTAATAAAAAGACTAATATTCAAGGATTTAGATTTAATAAAATTAGTAATTTTTACTGCCTCATCAAGGTCATTCCTAAGTGGAATTAGCTTTTTTGGTGCTGTTGCCTTGATTTCTGCTAAGGCATGAGCAGTTTTACCCAACATTGCTTTTGCATCATTAGTGCAGATGTCAAAACAATGAAAAAAGTATAAAATCTCCTAATATTATTGTGAAAATAATTTTGATTTGGTTAATGGATTTTTTTCTCAGTTGAAATTTTGATTGATTGATTGATTATTTATTTAAAGAAGAGGGTCCATAGGTGAGTTTTTAAAAAGCGTCTCATTTGTCCGAGTCCTGAAATATCTCAAGTGTTTTAGGACCATCTAAACCTGATATAATGATTATCTTTGTCACCATGAACCTTCTACCTCCATTTTGTTCTGTAGATTATCAAGAGAGCTTTTCAGTTTTTGTAGATCTCATTGCTATTTGTGACTCTTTTCTTCTAGACTGATAGGCCTAAAGCCTTTATTTAAAACCCTTCTGCATTCTTCCCTAATTTCTGGTAGGAGGTGGGCAGATAAGGATCCCTGATCATCTGTAACTATAAACATCCTTTGCCATATTGTTTGAAGCCATTCAGAAAATACATGAAAAAAAATACATTTCTTTCATTTGAAATGATCCCCCTTTAGTAATCCTATAGTCTTAAACTATAACTTCCTACTGAGAAAATTACATCTGATAGTATGTGATTATTTTCCTTTAAACTTTGTAAGCAAATCAGTACTTATCAAATTTCTAACATGCTTTCCTTTGTATATTATAATGATGAAACAGCTTACCCATTTAGAAATCATTTTTACCCACTTCAGAAATCAATTTTATAATTAATCAAATTAGTACTATAAATAATAGTCCTATAGCACTTCTAAGTTTATAAGTCATGTTCTGCACATTTAGTTTGAAAAACATAAAAATTAATGTATTATTAGAACTGCTGGATATTGTCATGTCCAGAGTGGTGCCTATCACATAGTACAACTCAATAAATTATTGTTGAATAAATGAATGGACTTTTCTTTTCAGGCCTGTATTGATGAAAATTTGGACATGGTGAAGTTTCTGGTTGAGAACAGAGCCAATGTAAACCAGCAAGACAATGAGGGATGGACACCCCTTCATGCAGCAGCTTCCTGTGGCTATCTCAACATAGCAGAGTGAGTTTCTGTTTGGGTTTGGTAGGAATAACCTTCATTTCTCTGCTCATAGAATTTGGATTTCATAAATAGTCATAATCTCTGTTATTAATTGCAAATTCACGAAGTTGACTATTTTTAAAGGCTAATTGATTGTATGTTTTACATAATTGCTAAATCTATAGTTTCTTAGTTGAAAGTTTTTGTTTGCTTTCATCTTCATATAATTTGTATTTGCTGGATTATGCAGTTAGATTCTGTCTGGTGCACTTTCTGGATTCACTTCTGAAGAACTCTAGCAGGGCACATGTATAAGCAGGCTGCAATTTTTTTTCTGGATGCCTTTATAAACCTGTTGTTTTTGTTTGTTTTTTAAATCAGTGTTTACAATGGAGTTTCATTCATCCATAAAAAAGAATGAAATTGTGTCAAATGCAGGAAAATGGATGGAACTTGAGAGTATTCCGTTAAGCAAAATAAGCCAAACTCAGAAAGTAAAAATTCATGTTTTCTCTAATATGTGAAAGCTAGAGTAGAAAAAAGGAAAACAAGTAGGGTGAGAATCTCATGAATCAAAGGAGATCAGTAGAGTAGAGGAAAGAGACCAGGGAGAGGAAGGAGAAAGAAAGGAAAATATTGGTGAATGATTTTGACCAAATTATATTGTTATATTGTGTGCATAAACAAATATGTAAACAGATCCCACCGTTATAACAACTATAATGTACCAGTATAAATATGGAGGGGAAAAAAAAATCAATGCTTAAGGCCTAGGGTTGTAGCTTAGTGGTAGAGCACTTGCCTAGCATGTGTGAAGCACTGGGTTCAATTCTCAGGTCTATCAACAGTTTAAAAAAATTTTAAAAAATCCATGCTTAATACAAACAAAGGTGAAAATAACTGGTATGCTGGTATTTAGTAGAAGAAAGAACCTAAACATGTAGAACCAAGGAAGGGTAGAGATTGACATGTGTTCTCTACATTGGTTGAATGGATATGTTTAATAAAATAACAGTAGTAGCTATTAACTTCCATGACAACTAGTTGCCCCTCCCTTGGGCAGAAGAATTCTGACTACATTATGTCTGAGATATAAGAGGCACTAAAAAAGTCTCTCTTATAAGAAAGAATGATCAGGAAGGTTATTTTTACTTAGGAAAGAGGCTTTGGTGGTTGAAACATCTTTAAAATGAAGCAATTGAGTATATTCTAGATGAGGGAAAATTTATATTGATACAATAAATTCTTTATCACAATGTGTGTGGCCCTTTAGAAATGAGATTGCTTGTTTTAAGGCCTTTTTCAGTGATTATGATTAGAGCTCCATTACATCTCTCAATAAGAGATAAATAATAGCAATCAGAAGTGAGAATGACATTGGCAGCTATATAGAGGTCTGAGAATAGCTTCCCACAGAATCTGATTTGCCCACATTTCCTGTGGGAGACCCTGTCTTAAGCCAGGGATGTTCATTGGGAGAAGTTAAACAAAGGGGTTCGGGGCTGGGGAAACAGTAGGCAGCATCACTGGGTTGCTTGTTCAAAGAAGCAGAGGACTGCTCAGTCTGAAAGCTGAAAGAAATGAATAGTGTAGTTTCTTGCCTCTTATTTCCTTACTGTATTCTAAATTAGTAAAAGTCAGCTACCTCTTTATCCCCTAGGCTGTCCCCATTTCAGAATCTCATAGGAAAGGCTCCCATTCTCAGCCTTATTCACCAGTGCCAGCATTTTGATGTCCAAGAGTTAAAGAGATTTCTTTGTCAAATAAATTTGATTTTATTTAATAAGAAATACAGAACATATTGGCCCTGCATTTTTGAGAATTGATTAATTTGTTCAGGTGGCATGTTTGTGATATTTGAGCTACCAAATCTCGTTACATTCAAGAATTCACTTCTTTTCATCCCCCTCCCCTCCACACATACTTTTCTAGAGGAGCTTATGCTTAGAATTAGGATCATTGTGTTGGTTGGCATCACACTCCTGTGAAATTGAGTACAGATGAATGATTTTAATGAGACTTTTTAAATAGTAGTTATTTTAATTCATTTTTAAAACATAGTTCCTTTAGAAAAATGTTCAAAATTCAGAAATCTCCTGCACAAATATTACCCTGAATGAAGTGAATCTATCAGTTACTATTTCTTCATCTAATTATTACAAATTAGATCTATGAAAGTTTGATGATGATTGACCTGATATAGACCAGAATCCATTGCAGAGCTGGAGTGGTAGTAGGGATGACCTTCTCTTTCATTATGTATATTGTTACTAGACAGATTTTGTTTTTATGGTCATTTTTTTTTCAATATGTAGCCTTTTTTTTTTTTTTTTTTTTTTTTTTTTTTTTTTTTTTTTTTTTGCATTACTGGGGATCAAAGCCCAGGCCTCCTGAATGCCAGGCAAGTGCTCTACCACTGAGCTATACTCCAAGCCCTTATTATTTTTATTTTGAAACATGATCTCACTAAGTTGTCCAGGTTAGCCTCCTAGTTTCTAGGATTTCAGGCATGTGCCACCATGCCAGACTGTGGCATTATTTTTTATATGATGAAAAACAATTGTTTATACTATTCAATTTGGCCTCAGAGCCAATGAAGAATGTTTCAGTTAAGATCAGTCCCTGGCCATCTTGTCATTTTTCTTTTTTTTTGGGGGGGGGGCATTGGGAATTGAACCCAGGGGTGCTTTACCACTGAGCCACATTGCCAGTCCTTTTTATTTTTTATTTTGAGAGAGGGTCTTACTACATTGCTTAGGGTTTCACTGAGTTGCTGAGTCTCGCTTCAAACTTACAATCATTCTGTTTCAGCCTCCTGAGTTGCTGGAATTATAGGTGTATGTCACTGCACCTGGCCTCTTTTTGTATCTTAAAGATCTTACATTTTGCATTCTTATTCCCAGGATCATTAGGAACTCTAATTTTCACAGAAGTAGAAAAGAATAAAAAGTAAACCGACTTTCTAGGAAGAATCAAATACATTCTATTTCATGTTCTGTGATGAATTTTTTGTCTCATGTTTGTACTCGGTATGGTACATCAAAATGAGGTTTAGAGGTTATTTTTTTCCTCATTTCAACTTAAGTTGAGGCTTAATATTAGTTAACTGGGTATTAGATTTTTAAAAAATATTTATTTTAGTTATAACAATATCTTTTTTWAAAAAAAATTTTAGTGTGGTGCTGAGGATCTAGTAGCTGGTTTGATAGGGCCTCAGTAAATGTTTGTTAATTTCAATTAACAAACTGGTGCCTAAAATGGTGCCTTACCATTGAGCCATATCCTGACCCTTTTTATTTTGTATTTTGAGACAGGGCTGTGCCTCATGCATGATAGGCGAGCATTCTACCTCTGACCCCCAACCCCAGCCCTGGGTATTAGATTTTTATTATCAATAGTGTTTGTTTAACTTAGAAGTAGCAGATTGACCCAAGGGTGAAACATTTAGTTTGGCTTTATGGTTTATTGGGATGCTACATTTAATTTCCTTTCTTTCTCCCATAAAAAGTAGCAAAAAGGCCTTTTATCAGTAATGCATTAGAAAGAATAGGAAGGCTTTATTTTCTAAGGACATATATATTGAGCTAATAGTTATTTCTGAGCCTCTGGACACCTATAAGGATCCTTAGGGTAAAGTAGATACTATTTCATAGGTTGACATTTATTCTTGTTCAGGTAAAAGTGTAAAACTAAAGAAGATTTACTTTTTTCCCTAAAACAGGATAATATGGGAAAATAGAGACAGTGAAGAGGGCACAGTTGTGGCCCTCACATTGCTTTGAGTGCTCCTGTGTTCTCATCAAGCTGCAGTGTGGGGTGGTGTGAGAGGAAGGCAAGAGAGAATTCAGTTAGTGAGAAGAGGCAAAGGTTTGAGAAGAAGAAACTGTGTTCTATCCAGTGGAGGAAACACTGAACTAAGGAGGAGAGCTGGGTGAGAGTGGGGTGTGTTTGGGAATAATAAGGGTTTTGTTTATAGTTTAGTCCCAACAAACATTTATTATGTGCTTATTATGTATATTATTTGTATTATGATTTTTCAGGGTGGGGGTATGTAAAAGGGAAGGAACCAGAAGAGCGGAGCCATTGAATATGGGGAAGTAAAAAAGAGAAACTGATGGACAGAATAGTGATATTTGATAGATTTAAGAATACAGATAGAGGGAGTTAACTCTGGAATTGAATAAGGTCTGTCTTCCCCTAAGGCTGTGAGAGAAGGAAGAAGACAGTTGAAAATTAGATGAATTGTGAATACCTTTAAGTTTTACATATGTGGAATTGATTATAAATTAACAAACATTTACTGAGGCCCTGTCAAACCAGCTACTAGGCACTGAGAAAGCAAAATCATGGTCTTAATCTAATTTTTATAGATTTTTTCTCCTTTGTCAATTCTTTGAATGTAGTGGCCATACATAGATTTTGGGTGGGTGTTACTGGGAGATTGAACCCAGAGGTGCTTTACCATTGAGCCATATCCTGAACCCTTTTTAGTTTGTATTTTGAGACAGGGTCTTGCTAAATTGCTTCGGGCCTCATTAAGTTGCTGAGGTTGGCCTCAAACTTTTGATCCTCCTGCCTCATCCTCCCAAGTTGCTGGGATTACAGGTGTGTGCCACAACGCCTGACCCATATATTATTTTTTAAAAATTTCCTACAGTGCCTAAAGTATGGTTCTCTGACCAATGACATTTATTAATTTTTCAATGAATTAAAGTCTAATTTGCAGCTTTTCTTTCCCTTTAAGTGTCTGTGAATATTTGCTAGAGCTCCCAGCATTATTTGGATTCGCACTGGCTCTGAAGTAGTTTGTTCTGGAGAAAAGGTGAATTAGACTTGAATTCAAAGACTGCTATTTTCCAGCTATGTGATTTTGAGAAAATTACTTAATATGTGTAGCCTCAGTTACTTAAAGGAGGATTAGTAATAACTACATTGCCTACTTCATGCCTAAGATTCATGATTTTGTTTGTGTGTGTGTGTGTGTGTGTGTGTGTGTGAAATCATTTTGAGAATAAAAGAGGACCCATGTAAGGTATTGAAATTATCAGTTTTTTCTTCTTTGGGATTAAGTATTCTATGTGGATTTAGAATCTCACCATTTATCACTTTAATGTTTCTTCTTCATGATTTAGTTTCCTCCAAAAGTACAGAAAATTTCACATACATGATTTGCTGAAGGGAAAGTTTTGTGAATGTATGATTTAAGATGATTTGTGCAAATTTTAATGCATACTTATTTTTCTATTTTCACATCCACAATACTACTTAGTAAACTCCAATGTGCACTTGGAAGTTTTCATTAGATTTATTTATTTATGTTGCTTTTAGGGGTTCTCTTTCATTCCTAATATTAAATGCAAGGTAAGTCCTTTTGGAAACCCTGTTTGGACTTCTGAGATGGTGGACATGTTTTAAAGACTACATGGTATTTAGAAACTTCTTGCTGTCCACTGGAGTGAGAGAGAGACTGGGAGTTAGGTATATGACTATGAAAGAAATCCTACTATTGACATTGCTCTTTTCAGGAAATGGAGAAACTTCCAGCTCTAATTATTAAAGGCTAATGAAGTTGAAAATTAATAATGAAACACCTTATTTGGGGCCATATTTAAAGCCCTGAAATAGGCCTTGCTCTACACAGAACTCCATATGCACAAGTATAAGTTAATATTAGATTGACAGAGATAATATTCATCCTGAGTCTTGTTGCACAGGTATTTCATTAACCATGGAGCCAGTGTGGGTATGGTGAATAGTGAAGGTGAGGTCCCTTCTGACCTTGCAGAAGAGCCAGCCATGAAGGATCTTCTTCTGGAACAAGTAAAGAAGCAAGGTAACCTAGAGACTATGCTGGGCCCAGAGGGACTCTCTGCCCCCTGTAGAACATAATTYTTTTTGTTGGTTAAAACTTTTGATTATCATATAACAGGAAAGGATTAGATCTATCTGTACAGCATTAATCAACTACCAACATCATGTAACAACTCAACAAGAATAGGCGAAGTGCCAAAAGAATGGCTAGTCATTCCTGGTTTTTGCCATTCTGAGGTTGTATACTCACTGGATAGGTAGAAGTAACCTGTGAACTTTTTTATCAGTGCATATATGTTGTTAGATTTGCTACACATTGTGGAGTTCAAAGAAAGGGATGGGATACAGTGTGGCCACATTCATTTTGTAACTTTGCATCTTTTTTCTTGAGAACAGAAGTTGATACTAGTAAAATATATTTATTGTAATTTCTGAAATGATCTTTATATTAATCTTAAAATTATTCTGGTAGTTTAATCAAGTTAGGAATATAATTTAGAAGAATATGCTCTAAAAAGGTTTTTTTTGTTTTGTTTGTTTGTTTTGGTAGTTTTAGAAGAATTCATTTCAGGGAATGGGGTAGGATTCTCCTACTAAAGGTCTCTGGGTTCTTTTAATTTAAAAATGTTGAATAACACTAGGCAGAGAACAGGAGAACAGGTCTTAGGGAATTCTGCTAGAACTGTCACAAAACTTTAGATGTGATTTGCAGTGCTGTTTTTGTTTTGTTTTGTTTTGGGGGAAAGGGAGTTGGTAAACAACCAGACCCACAATCTGTAGTTTATCCCAAAGGATTTAGCTCCAGGGACCTTTAAAGCAATCAGGGCCATCTGACCATGCCCATTCGTTTACAAGCTGCTTTTGTGCTACAGTAACAGAGTTAAGTAGTTCTTTTTGTTTGTTTGTTCTCTTTAGTTACACATAACAGTGGAATGTATTTTGTGTATCAAACATACAGGGAGTATAACTTCCCATTCTTGAAGTTGTACAATATGTGGAGTTACACTAGTCATGTATTCATATATGAACATAGGAAAGTTATGTCTGATTCTTTCTATTGTCTTTCCTATTTCTATCCCCCCCCTCCCTTCTTGTCATTCTCCTTTGTTTAATCCAATGAACTTCTATCCCCTCCTCCTTATTGTGAGTTAGCATCTGGATATCAAAGAGAACATTCAACCTTTGGTATTTTGGGATTGGCTTATTTCATTTAGCAAGAGAGTCTCCAGTTCCATCCATGCCATAATTTCATTCTTCTTTATGGCTGAGTACTATGCCATTGTATATATACCACAGAGTTGAGTAGTTCTAATATACCAGATGGCCAGCAAACCCAAAAATATTTAATATTTGACCCTTTATAGAAAGGATATTGCAAACCTACCTTAAAATAATGATGTTCTAGGTCAACAACTACTGTTTTTATTGCCTTCTACATATAGTTTTGTGCCCTATTGAACTGAAGGCTTTGGTGCTGTTTACCCTCCCATCTCACTCAGTTGCATCTTCTACAATATGTTTTACAATTTACAGATAATTTTTTAAACAAACCAGTTTTTAAAGTAGTTTTGGTTTGAGAATCTACTTTTCCTATTTTGATTGTTGACTCTTCAGTTAAGGATTATACTCTGTTGGAATAGACATTCATATGTATGCCTAACTTTGTAGCACTGTTAACTCCCCTTATAGTGTGTGGAATTCTGGTCTGTTCTTCACCCCTTCCTTTCCTCAGATTAGACAGAGATAATACTTAGGTAGCTCCCAGATTTTCATTTAAGAGTAGAAAGGGAGCAGACCAAGCACAGAAAAGACTGATAATGAAGGTGGAACTCTTTGAATGGGTATATTTATATTTGAGACATTTCATTATTTATATATCAGGGAGTGCCCCATCTCAGCCCTTCTTCATTGGCATGGGTATTGGAGAGTGGTTGGTAAAGGGAGGAATTCTTGAAGTTCTTCCATCATGCTTTTGACTGTTTTTTTAGCCTGCAGATCACCTACTCATCTCTGAAGTATTATGTATAGCTTCAGGTCACTGTATTTTTCTGTATATGGAAACAAGCTTTAGAGATAGTTTATTTTAAAGTATGTCATACCTGAAACCAACATCTTTAATACTAACCTTTTGGTGTAATGAGTGGAAAAGAAAAACAGACAGGGATCAAGTATTTCAGAGTTCTAGCATCACTAATGTGTTTTGTAGCTTTAAGCAAGGCATTGAAACTTTTCATGTTTATTTCCTTATATGGTAAATGGGAATATTATACTCACTTCAAAGAATTGTTTGGAAACTGAAATGATATAACATAAAAGAACCTTGAAGTTTATAGCTTTGTACAAATATTATAAGTAAAAATAATATCCCCTCTGATTTTTATGTTCTGTTGAAAATGATTTAGGCATGTTTCCTCAATGGATCTGCATCACATAATATTTAGCCTGATGATTTAACCTGGTAAGACCATTAATGTGTGTGCAAATTCAGCTGCTTTCCTAAATTTGATGACTATCCAGTTTGATAATTAAACTGTTATCTGTGGTTATATTTATGATGTGTTTTGAATCTAAGGAAAATAACCTGTTAGAATTGTAGAGTTTTAGTAATGCTGGCTGTCTGATATATTACTTCTATAGGAGTTGATCTAGAGCAGTCAAGAAAGGAAGAAGAGCAACAGATGTTACAGGATGCCCGCCAGTGGCTCAACAGTGGGAAAATAGAGGATGTGAGGCAGGCCCGCTCAGGAGCCACAGCCCTCCATGTGGCTGCTGCCAAGGGCTACTCTGAAGTGCTCAGGTATTGTTTCTGTATATCAATCAGTAGTTTGGTTTACTGGGATGAGATGAGATGAGTTTTGAATGCCAAAGGTGAATTAGATTTTCAACTATGATGTGTTTCCTTTTTTGTTGATCATGCAGTTTTTTGTTCCCCCACCCCATATTTTGCTGATATTAGGCCACAGATAGTCTACCTCCCTCCTGCCATCCCTCTAGCTTTTCACTGATATGTATGATATATGAAAAAGAGTTAAGATACACAGACCTTGTCCCATTCTATGAATTTGTCATTAATTCCCCTGCAACTTTCTCCTCTTAGGACCTGCAATGCAGGACAGACCTATGATCATTTTGGTCCTTTTTGACTTAAATAATTTCTTGGGACTCTTTAGATCAATCTTACAGATCTTGAATATGCAGTGTCTAGAATAGTCAAACTTACATGAAGGATTTGGATTCTGCTATGTCTATTCCAGTTTTTCTTACATCTGTGCCTTATGTAGCTTTTGGTGCTTAGAGTTGAAAGGTTTTCCCCAAAACGTGGGTTGCTGAAGGCACTGTGTGTGCCATTGCTGCCGAACTCCTTCAGTGTTCTATATTCAACCTAATATGGGGTTTCTAATAGATGTGGCAGTGTGTTGTACTCCATATCTGTCCAAGTGTGACATCCATACTGTGCTCAATTCTTGGAAGATTTCTGGAGCTCCACAATAAAGGGCCTCAGCCAGCTCAGTGCAATTTGGGACTTCTGGAATCATATCTTTACATGTATAACATGGTTACAGTTAGATTAAAGCTTTAAAGTTAGTGTCTGCAGATACTCTTGTAGAGTAGAAGGTATGAGATTCTGTAGTAAACCTATGATATTGTGGAAAGACCAACCAGAAAGTATCCTGAAGAAATATGAGCCCTTGTTTTATGTTAATTTCTCCTTGCCCTGGAGAATACAGAGCACATTCTATAATAGAGTTGTATGACTTGGTTAATTGAATTAGGTTTTTGTTAGTCTCAGGTACACACCTATCTTTGCACTCCCCTTATACAATATTACATGGATATGTGTATGAAATACCATACAAATGACCTTTTTGAGGGGCTCAGTTAAAAATCATTTATGATTTATGCTTAAAGTAGCAATTATGAAACCATAGCTATGCCTTAGAGGGCAGAAGTAATCATAGAATGAATCCCTGTAGTTCAGGGCTCAATCTGAAATATCAGTTAATTTGAAAAGCACCTATAGGTTGAGTGTCCCTAATCCAAAAATCTAAAATCTGAAATGTTCCAAAATCTGAAACTTTTTGAGTGCCAATATAATGCCCCAAGTGGAAAATTCCACACTTTTAAAGCCCATAATTATTTAACATATTGTATAAAATTACCTTCAGCTTTTTTGGCAGAAAATTGTAAAGTTGAAAAGAGAAATGTAATATTTGGGGTTTTCTTCTTAGACTTCTAATTCAGGCTGGCTACGAACTCAACGTTCAGGATCTTGATGGCTGGACTCCCCTCCATGCAGCAGCACACTGGGGAGTGAAGGAGGCTTGTTCCATCTTGGCAGAAGCACTCTGTGACATGGATATCCGGAACAAACTGGTTAGTGAGTCTGAATCTCTAAAACGCAATAAGGTTGGTGGTTGAGTCTCTAGAACAAAATGGCCAGGTGACTGCTCTGGAGAAATGTGCATCCCTGGTAGCTGTGATGTTGCCCTCACCTGCCTGCCCTCACCCATTATCAACATAGAGAAGTGTTGCTACATGAAATAAAACCCCATTAACCTAGTGAAGCCCTTAAAACAAACTTGGCAAAAAAAAAAAAAAAGGCTTTCAGAAACCTAAGGCCACTATTTATAGTGAAGTATGGAAGAGTTGATATTTTTCAAATCATTCTTTTAACAGCTGAGCTCTATTCACATTGAGTCATTTAAAAATGTTACAATAACAAAGAACTTTGAGTTTTGGCTGAAAATAGCCTTATTCAGCCTCACTTCAAGCATCTTAGAAGCCCTGAATTCCAATCCTTGTCTCCTAATTTTCTAAGAACCCAGAGATAATGGACTTTTTTTTTCTTTTTTCTGTACTGGATTTGAACTCAGGGGAGCCTTTCCACTGAGCTACATCCCCCAGTCTTTTGGAGTCACAGTCTCACTAAGTTGCTGAAGGTCTTGCTAAGTTGTTTAGGCTGCCCTTGAACTTGCGATCCTCTTGCTCAGCTTCCCAAGTTGCAGGAATTACAGGCATGCAGCACTGTACCTGGTTTGGACTCTTTAATTAGTAGATGTTCTTATCTGCCTCACGTCTCCTTTGGGTCCTGGTTTCATTCTTAGACTATAGGTCAGAGTCCTTAATTGGGCTGATGTTTTCTAAAAGAGAAAACCTTCCTATTTGCCCTTTAGTTACTTAAAGGAAGATGATTTCTGTGACTTATCTTTGGTGCACATGTTTCTGAACCTCCCCCAGAGGTTTTTAAGAGCCCTTATTAAATTCATCATTGTAATTAAGACCTTTTTTAGAGTAGGTACAAGTAGAGGTTTCCCTTGATTATTTGCCAACAGGCAATAAACATTAGAAATGATGTGGTGATATTTCCTCAGTACTGTTTTGTACATTATGAAGCTCTCTGCTTAATGGGTTTGCTGTTTCTTACAGAGTTTCCCATGTAATAGATGAAGGCCTATCATAAAGTAGGGTAGATTAATTTGGAAAGCATCTACAGGTTGAGTGTCCCTAATCCAAAAATCTAAAATCTGAAATTCTCCAAACTCTGAAACTTTTTGAGTGCTAATATAATGCCCCAAGTGGAAAATTCCACACCTTTAAAGCACACAATTATTTAACATATTGTATAAAATGACCTTCAGGCTGTATGTACAAGTTGTATATGAAGAATGAATGATGTTTGTGTATAGACTTGGATCCTATCCTCCATGTATCTTATTATGTATATGCAAATATTCCAAAATCTGAAAAAATTTCAGAGACTTCTGGTCCTAAGCATTTTGGATAAGGGATACTCAGCCTGTATCATTGGAATCTAAGGCAGAAAGTGAATATTGCATAGTCCCTGATAAAATAAAGTTACATAATAACTGCTTCTATTTTCTATCAGTCATTGTGCCCCTTTTCTCTCCCAGGGTCAGACACCATTTGATGTGGCTGATGAGGGTCTTGTGGAGCATTTGGAGATGCTCCAGAAGAAGCAGAATGTGGTGAGTCACTGTTTCATACTTTGAAAGCTCTTCTAGCAGTTTGCGGTCTACAGTGGGTATCACTGTTGCTTGCTTTTATTATGTCTGTTGAGAACTGAACTGGACATTTCCGCATTCCAGAGATATTCATTGTTTCCTTCAGGAACTATCAAGAGTCTGTTAGAAGAAAGTATTCTAAAAACCACTGTTGTTAAAGTTTGCTTGTTGTAAGATATCCTTGAAGCAGATGAAAGCAACAAACAACAACAACAACAAMAAAAAAAAACTATACACTTGAGTTCTAGAAAATGCTTATGTTCAAATTAAGAGCTTTTTTTCCAAATGAATACTAGAATGCAGGACTCATAATTTTTTCTTTTTCTTATTAACTAAAAGTATATAATTTAAAGCATATTGATTATAAAGAGGAATATTTATCTTTCTTAACAAATATAAAATGATAAAACAGTTATTTGGTATTGGACAGTATTGGTCAGTGATTCATACTTATTCTAGATTCCATGAAACATCCAAAATTCAGTCCTCTTCTCCTTCCTCTTCATTTTAAATCTTTTTTTCATTTGGTTACCTGTGCCATTCTGCTTAGTGCTACACACACCTGGTGCCCATGCACAAACTGCAGCATGGAAAACCACCTCCAATAAAGAGATGAAGAATGAATGTGTCACATTTACTCCCCACAAAGGGGATGAGTAATTTGGTGAGGAGAATAAAGATCAGTGACCACAGGGTAGAATAGGAAAAAAAAAAATCAGTGGCTTTCCTGTTATATAGCAGCAACAGTCTTCCTAATATAAGATGTATGCTTTGCATAATTAGGTTTTTAAAACCTTTTTATTCTGAAATAATTTTTCATTCACGAAGAAATTACAAAAATCATAGAGAAGATTCCTATAAATTCTTTACCAAACATTATTATGTTTTTGAGCCTAAATAATATTGTCACTGAATAACATTTCTACAATTATGATAATGATTCATACCCATGTCTCCTACATAACTTTAGGCTCTAGGGATAGAATACATATTGTCTAGAGCATGCATCTAAATATCATTCTAAGGGCTAATTTCCCATTTTGGTACCTGTGTTTTCTTTAGAATTATTGTCAACATATTTTAGTTAGGGATCATATAGAATTCTTTCCAAGTTGCTGCTGGCCTTTCGTTCTTCAGAAGCTAGTTTTTTTTGGGATTTGGGTATTTGAAACAGGAAGTTTTCTTGAAGCGTTAACACCATGTTTTTTCTTGTCTAATCTGGATGAGGATTTTCCTCTGTCATTTTTTCCTAAGGAGACCCAACTGATGTGTTTCTCTTTTTTTCAGTTTCTTTTCCCCTACTTTAGTGTGGGTTCTGTCTTCTTCAGGATGATAGTGCCATTGGGTTCTTCTTAATACTGCTGATTTTTCACCAGTAGTCAACTATTTCCTTTTCTCTGTTTTATCAATTTTCAGCTTCGAAGTGAAAAGGAGACACGAAATAAACTCATTGAGTCAGACCTGAACAGCAAGTTGCAGAGTGGACTCTTTAAGAAGTAAGATACTTGGGCTTGAGGAATGGGTTCAAGCTGTGTTCTAATATGTCAGACTGACCCTGAGAATTTATATGGTGAAGAAACTATGTTTGTTTTACTCAGATCATCTTCAAACATGTTAAAAAGTTTAGGGACAGGGAGACGGCATTGATATGGGTGAAAAACACTGAGAATAGGTGAATGTGCTTTAAACTTAGAAATTAATGACGACTGCATGCATGCAGCGTTTCTCCTATCCTAGCTTGAGGGTTCTGAGTCCCATCTATTCCCATAAATGCACTGTAAGTTCTGTTGTTTACCACTGTTTTGGTGCCTAGCATGATTCCTGGCATGTAGTAAGTTGTGAGTAAGCATCTGCTAAGTTTTTGTTTTTTTATATCTACCCATCATCACAAGTCATGGTTTCCTTTTTTTCTGTATGTTGAACAGGCCAGATCTCCTCGAGTCATATTCAAGAGTCAATACTACACCTTAATCTGAAAAAAAAAAAAAAAAAAAAAAACCAAAACTCCAGAGTTCAGATGAACACATAGATATAAAGAAGGATTTAAATATATTTCTACTATTGCCTCTCTATATATTATAGTCTATAGATTTGTTCTCCTTATTTTACCTGTTGTCATTACTTCTGAATTATATTCAACTTGTGTCTTTAATTTAGCAAAGAGAAGATGCTATATGAGGAAGAGACACCCAAGTCCCAAGAAATGGAGGAAGAAAGTAAAGAATCCAGCAGCTCTAGTTCAGAGGAAGAGGAAGGTGAAGATGAAGCTTCTGAGTCAGAAACTGAGAAGGAGGCAGGTAATGCAAAGATCCTCCATTTCCACTGCTTGTCAGAAAGCTGGCCAGGCCTCAAGGCACTGCAAATTTAGTTTTCAAAGAAAAGAGATCAAATTGCTAGTGACAACTTGTTTATAAAAGCTGTGAGCTCTGTTAAACTATATCTTCCAGTTTCTATGCAGCCATGTAGTAAGGTGCGCAGAGAATTCTGTGTGCGGGAGCCAGCTGTCCTAACCTTGAATTTGTAAATAGCATCAAGATCAGATTCCAAAAAGTCACTATGTCTCTTTGGGTCAAATACTTTTGATGAACTGGTGAAAATTTGTACTTAGTTCTCAGGTTAGTTTGATTCCCTAAACAGAATCCTAAAATCAACCACCCTTCCCAACCCCCGTCCCCCATCCTTCTCCTTATTATATAAGGTTCCTTCAGGTCCTGAATAGAGGATTAAGAAAGGAACAATATCATATTTACCTTTATGATTCTTTTTAGTGGAGGGGTAATACTGGGAATTGAACCCAGGGGCATTCTAACACTGAACTTAAACTCCAGCCCTTTCATTTTTTCAGACAGGATCTCACTAAGTTGCCAGGGCTGACCTTGAATTTGTGATCCTTCTGTCTCAGCCTCCTGAATAGCTTGGATTACAGGTGTGCACTACCATGCCTGGCTTATCTTTATCATTTTTTTTTTTCCTTTTTGTGTCAGGATTGAACCCAGGGGTGTTTAACCACCAAGCCACATCTCCATTCCTTTTTTTTTCTAAGTTGCTGAAGTTGGCTTTAAACTTGAGATTCTCTTGCCTCAATCACCCGAGTCATTGGGATTACAGGCCCTATATGACGTTCATTGATAACAGTACAGTCCTTCCCAGGTATTCTGGGAAATTGGTTTTAGGACCCCTATAGATAATCAAAATTCTTAGATGTTTAAGTCCCTTATTTAAAACGATACAGTATTTGCTTATAAACTATGCACACCCTCCTGTGTACTTCAAATAATTCTAAGTTACTTATAATATACAATGCAATATAAATGCTATGTAAATAGTTGTTACACTGTATTGTAGGGAATAATGATGGGGGAAAAGTCTGTACATATTCAATATGTATACATTTTTTTTCTTGAATTATTTTCAGTCCATGGTTAGTTGAATCCATGGAAGGCTAACTGTAATCTCATATGGAGATTCTTAAGTTTATTATTGACAAGACAGGAGCCCTAAAAATGAGAATGAGGTGCTGAACATGGTCAGATCATTAAGCTATAAAATAGCCTATAGGTTTGGTTTTGTAAAGGCCGGCAATCATTGAGAAATAATAAGCTGGATTTTACTGAATAGAAATTCAGCTGCAAAGAATAGTTCTCATAGATAATTGGAAAGAAATGGTAAGCTAAGATTTTAATTGCACATATGCCCTGCATTCATTGGCACATTATCCCTCCAGATTTGAGTTCATGAAAAAAAATGACATTTCCAGCTTGAAAACAAAGTTAGAGGGGAAGAGGCCACCCATTAAGTTTATAATGAAGTCTGTATTTTCCTCTGAATTCTGTTGTAGCTGGACTACCTATAATGAAGATATTTAACTTACTCTGTTGTCTTGGCCCAAGCTTCTGATGATGTCTGGCTTTCCTGATATGGTTTCCGTCAATCATGGGAGAATATCACCTGTCTTCATGTTTCAATCTGAGGCTCACTGAATGTCACCAGAGGTTAGAGTCCATCAGTGCGATAGAGAAGACAGACACCAGCTAGGTTTGCAGTATAGGAGATGACCTTATATTCATTGAGACTTGGATTTCTATTATTAATCAGGTGTAGCTTGCTCTGGAAATGCTAGTGTCAGTACTTAAAAAGATTTATAAATGTGTTTCTTTTTGTCCTTTGTATTAGCTATTGAGCATTGACATATTGCCAAGTTTTCAGATATTACCCAGAATTAATATTGGGCTTGCTCTATGCTATATCTACTAAGGTATTAAAAAAAAAAAATGGAGGGAGCTACTTGAACTCCTGGCATTGCTTGTGATTTGTACCACCACCCCAGATCTCATTCCCTGCAGCCCATCTCCACACTGCTGTTGGAGTAAAATACCTACAACACCCTTATAACTATTGTGTACCTAATTCAAAACCTAGAACTACCTCCTCACTCCACCTTTGCCTACGGACTAAGTCCCAAACTCTGTAGCCTGGCTGTCAAGGCCTTTCATAATCTATCTCCAGCTGACCTTTCCAGTGCTACACACAGGCAAGGACATATTGTAGTCAGACCATATTGCTCGATTTCTTTAAACATGCTGTGATCTCTCCTGCTGTTGAATGTTTATTTGTACTTTAAAATTTATTTCAGGCCTTCAGATGCTTGTTTAGTGAGTTCTGTTAGGAGCTTTAGGATCTAGCAGATTCAAATGGTGATTTTTTAGGTTTTTCTGATAACTGAAATCTGCAAAGAATGGACCCCTTTTCTGTTCTCCCACCCAACAGTATTGCTCCCCTGTTTGTATCCCTCTAGCACCATGTTCTTAATTTTCTTCTAGTACTCATTGTTTTGGCTGGGAACACTGGGTTTATTATTATGCCCCCAGGTCTCAGCACAATGCCTGGCACATGGCAGGCACTCACATTCACTAAATGTTTTTTTGTTGAATATGTCTAGTAGGGGAATAGAAAGGCATATATACATGAGTAAAATACATGCCATGTGAGAGAGATTAATCCAATCATTGGTATTCACTAGTAAGAAAGATTATGTTTAGTTCAGGGAATTGTAATAAAACTTTACATCTGCAGTACATTTTACTTTGCAACACACATTTAAACATTTTTATTTAATCCTCATAATCACACTCTGGGGTATATATCATTATCACCACTTTTTAGATTGAGAAATTGACACCATAGGAGGTTAGGTGAATTAGGTTTCATAGATAGCACTTATAGTTTTGATCTGGAGCTCCTCAGAATAGTAAGGGACCAGTGCAAATTATCTGCACAGAAGTGAAAGATGAAATTAGAAAAGGATGATATCCCTAAGGAAGAGACTTTAGAGAAAAGAGGTACAAAAAAGAATCTTGACATACTGTGCTTAGGATGTGAAGTGGAAGGAAGTGAAATAGAATCACTGAAGGAGGCAAAGAAGGTGTGACCAGAGAGATTGAGGAAAACCAGGATGCATCATTCTACCTCAGAAATCAGGGCTGTAGTGAGAAGGGAGAGCTGAAGGATGACACAGCAATTAGGAAGTCACTAGTAATCCTAGAGAGCAGTTTCACTAGCCTGGTGTGGGCAGAAGCCAGATGGTTCTAGCAAGCTTCCCTACTCATTTCTGCAGTTCTCTGCCAACTGAAATTTCACTCATGTCCCAAATCCCAGCTCCAATCAACTTTTTCTTTATGGAGCCCTACCATAGAAATATATGGTTTTCTTCCCTCCCCTGATTCCTGTAGCTATTTGTTTGAATGTCTGGTGTATTACTTTTTCCCTAGTGTTTAATATTTGAATTATTTGCTTTTTTGCTCTTCCTTTCTGCTCTTCCCCCACCAGCAAGCTTTGGAAGCACTTGAAAGTAATGTTTCTTGATCGACTTGCTATATACCATAGTTCCTAGCACATGGCCTTCTATTAAGGTGCTCAATAAATATGTGGGGAAAATGCAAGGAAGTGCATTATACCAAAACCTTTCCAAATATTACCTGTGTCGTACTAAACTAATACTTGTTGAATTCATTTATCCTAATTTTAAAGACCCACAGATACAACTTTTTAATATGATATTTTTCATGTGTCTTATGTTGTAGTAAAGATATTAATTATATTTTGAGGTGAACATAAGCATTTTGATTAGAGTTTTTCTTTTTCCGCTTTTATTTATTTGACTTAAATATTTTGTAAATCAATTATTTATTGCTGAGTAAAAACTGTCCCCAAACTTAGTGGCTTAAAACAAGAATACCTTATGTGTACCAAATTCAATGGATTGGCAATTTCAGAAGGGCTCAGCTGTATGATTTGTATCTCCTCATGGTAATGCTGGGTTCACTCATGTTTGTATAGTCAATTGTTGAATCATCTAGAGGGATGAGGTCCTAGATGGCAGGATGTTTAGTGCAAATGAGCCATGTGACTCCTATCTTCAAGCAACTTAGCTTCTCCTTCTTCATGTGGCAGATGCTTCAAAAAGCAGTCAAAGGCCAAAGCTCAGTGTATAGGCACTTTTCTTTTTTTAAAAAAAAAAACATTTATTTATTTTTAGGTGTAGATGGACACAACACAATGCCTTTAGTTTTATGTGGTGCAGAGAATCGAACCCAGGTCCCGCTCATGCTAGGTGAGCGCTCTACCACTGAGCCACAATCCCAGCCCCTGTATAGGCACTTTTCAAACTTAACTTTTGTCACATTTGCTAATGTTCCCATGGCCATAGCAAATCACCTGGCTAAGCCCAGAGTCAATGTAGAAACGGTATGGATTCATGGAGACATGATTTGCACAAGGGTATGGATTCGCCGAGACATGATTTGTTGGGAGCTATTACAGTAACAGTCTGTCACATTTGGCTAGTAAGCTGGATTTCTCAGGGCTACAGATACTCAGATAGTATTTAAAGAATGCCTTGAATATTCACAATAATTCAAAAAAATAACATTTTTTTAAAAAAATGAGGGATTCACTATGGCCAGACAATGAGCTATGCAGTTTTAGAACATAATCTCTAATCTTTATCATAATTCCCACAAGGTAAGACTCAGTGAGAAAATAGAGATTTAAATATAAGTATACTTTTCTAGTATCACACAGTTAGGATATAGCTTAAAATTGTCACATAATTCATGAGTAGGTTACTCTGGGGTTGTTTCCAGAGTACATAAATCAGAATCAGTGCATAATTCACTAGACACAGGCACAATGGTAGTTATTTAGTTTGTAGCAATAAAAAGACAAGCTTTCTGATTGATAACCCTACTGATATGGACCACTCGTGAGTTCAGCAATAATATTATTCTGTAGCTCACCCTCCAATCCCTTTTTACCTTTATTTCCTATTGTAACCATAGGAATTCCCACTATTTAAAGTAGGATGGCCATTTTGCTGACCATCAGATGTATGTCTTTTGATTTCTGAGCCATTACTCATGCCCCTTCTTCCTCTTCCACCTGTCAGTCAGTACTGTCTTCCAGCTTCCTCTGTGGTTCTGTTCTAGAGAACCCTGACTAATGTAGCAATTTTCCCTGTTTCTTCCCTCAGAGGATCTGCCTCCTCTGAAATTCTCTAGCACTTGTTGATCTGAATCAACCACTTTAGTACCTGAATTTTATATGACATTGTGTTATTATCATTGTAAAGAGTCTTATCTCTTTTGAGTATAATTACCTAGAAAACAAAGTCTATCTTGCACTTTTTGTTTTTTTCCCTGCCAAGCAACCCCCAAACACATATTCTTCCCAAGTAGTAACTAATGAATTCTATATATGATTTTACTAATAATGTAGAAACAATATTCACTTTTCATCTGGAAATTAGAGTTGGAGCTTACATAAAGAATCAGTGCATAACACTGCCAAAGAAACAAGATGGGAATACTGTTGAGTTTATTTTCTTCTGCCCACAGTGGCTGGAGAGTTCATCTTAGTTTGAGTTTAGTATTACATGGCCCCAAAATCTGTTCTGATAACAAGCCTTTTCTGTCAGCAGTAAAGAACATAGACACACAAAGGTATGGTTTTCATACTTGGACTTGTTACTTCTCTTGTCTTAAATAACAGATAAAAAACCAGAAGCCACTGTCAACCATTCCAACTCTGAAAGCAAGAGTAGTGTCATGGAGCAGATACCAACACCAGCTCAGAATACCTTCTCTGCCTCTTCTGCTAGGAGAGTGAGTACTTTGGAATTATTTGGGTATTATATTTCACCCTCCTGCAATAATACATATTTAGAAAGGACTCAAAGATATGTTATTGTAAAACAATAAAGATATACTTTTGCCTTAGTCCTCTCCTAGAACAAAATACCACACTGGTTGATGTAAGCAATTGAAATTTATTCCTCACAGTTCTGAAGGCTGAGAAGTCCCAGACCAATATACTGGATTCAGTATATGAGCCATGTGACTCTTCTGTCTCGAAGATGGCCACCTTCTTGCTATGTCCTAACATGGTGGAGAGAAAGGGAGCTCTGGTGTCTCTTCCTCTTCATATAAGGGCACCAGCCCTGTTGGAGGAGAGACCCACTCTGTTGACCTTGTTTAACCATTTTCACCTACTCACTGGCCCCATCTCCAAATAAGACATATTGGAGATTAGGGCTTTAATATATGAATTTTGTAGGGACATAAAGAATCAGTGCATAACACTGCCAAAAATACTTTTTGTAAAACCATCACCAAATATGGCTACAGATGGGTTAAGATATAGGATAGAATACTCTGGGACCAAAAACATTTTTTTTTTAAAAGTCATTTCCTGTTTTTTTTCACATCCAAGGTTAAGGTAACTATATATAAACTTTAGACAGGTTTGGGAAGATATCTGGCATCCAAAAATAATTGCTTTGATGACTATTCTCTTTTTTCTACTTCTCTCTAAAACTTTGTTTTCATGTCTTTATACTTTATAATGGGTAAAGGGCAGAAGTAGAAAGAACATGTTGAAATTCCAGGAGCACTTCCTGTTACAACTTTACACAAACTAAGAATCTGTAGGCTCCTAGTCAGTGAGACAGAGCTGAATGATGTTCCACTCTACAAAGTGCAAAATTGGTTTTGAAGTTAAGAATTGATCCAAATTCTTTGGAATAGAACTGTTGAAAAAACCGTGTGGTTTTGGAGATATTAACTTATTGATCTTATTTCCTCATGAATTGGAAAGATGGGCTTCTGGTGTCCTTGTGGAAATGAGAGAACAAGTCTTGGCTGCTTATTTATTCCTAGAAATATCATTGTGAATCATTACACAGGCTTCAAATAGAATATAATCACTTGGTTGTACCTCACATACTGTCACTGCTTCTAGTTGTGACTAGATTTCCTATGTTTTTATTTTTATTTCATTTTTAGTTTTTTGCTCTGCCGGGAATTGAACCCATGGGTGCTCTCCCACTGAGCTATATTCCCAGTCCTTTTTTGAGACAGGCTCCACCAGGTTGCCCAGGTTGGTTTTGGACATTTGTTCCTCCTGCCTCAGCTTCCCAAGTTGCTGATTATAGGTGTGCACCACAGCACCCAGCTAAACTTCCTAATTTTCAAAAAGAAAAATAATAAATTTTTAAAAATACAAACACATGCAGTACTGATTCCACTTTGCTGAATAATACTGTGAAAGGGGGAAAGATTCCCTAAGAATTAGGGTAACTTATAAAAAGGAAGAAGTATATAAATGTATGTACTCACGTGACAATGAAGAGAAAACTCTGAGCATGAGTTGGAGATGAATGCATTAACATTTGTACTGCATTTTCACTATTTCAAGCAGTAATGATGACCTTGAAAAGTTTCCCAGACCTTAGGAAGGAGCTGTTGGGTAGTGTTCCAAAGACCAATTAATTATACCCTAAATTGGTCTTTGGGCTAATGCTAGTCTATGAATTTTCCCTGATTTATAATTAAAGATAATGTAAGCTTTTTATGAAGCTTCCTTTTTTTTATGCAGTGCTAGGGGTGGAACCCAGAGCCTTGCACGTATTAGGCAAGTGCTCTACCACTGAGCTTCAGCCCCAGGCGTGAAACTTTCTTTTCTAAAATTAAAAATTCCTTCTTCTTTTTAATATAATGACAGTGATGGTGAGCTGTTCATGTTTTGAAAGATTTTCTCTCCAGACAAAAGAAAAAAGGTAGAAACCTTTGACCTTTAAAGTTTTTAAATTTTGTGGTCAGTGAAATCTARAATTCTTGGAACTGCTATCCAACATCAAATAAGTTCTTTTGAAGTTGGCAGTTAGAATTTGTGTGGAGGAGCCTCTGATATTTTATTAGTATTAAATCAGCTTATCACAATAGTACCTTCAGACATATTTACACATTAGCTCATCTTGTGTTTTCAAACTCCACATATCATATGGAGGAATTAAACTCATTATCACCATTTTATAGATGAGCATGTTGAGACCTAAGAAGTGAAATATCTTATTTTCAGTTACCCAGTGAGTCAAGAGAAGATGTATCACTACCTCTTCATCTGTATTCACTACATCTGTATCAACCTCCTGGTGCTCCAGGTCAGTTAAGGAGAGCAAATGGTTTTTTATTTCTCAGAACAAATCTGTCAGGGAGGAGAACTGTGCTGAGAATTGGAGGCTATTTCTGGCTTAGGGAGAAAGAGAGTCTTGAGAGGTGATAAGCGTCCTCTAGGTGAGGAGGGCACATTGGCAGACAGCCCACCGTGTGTTTGTTCTCTGGTGCTGCCTTAGTTGCTTCACTGAACTTTGTTAAGCATGGAAAGGGCAAATAGGCTCAAACAGAAGGCTCATCAGGACCTTGCTTTTTTCTTTTCTTTGCATCCTCCCTCTTAGTTCTCCTCCAGCCTTTTTAACAAGCAAGAAGAGGCCAAAGATGAATCTCCTTCTTCATGGAGATTGGGACTCAAAAAAACTGGCAGTCACAACATGCTGAGTGAAGTGGCCAATTCCAGAGAAGGCCTAAGGGATCGAGGCTCTTCCATCTACCGCTCTTCTTCAAGCCCTCGGATCTCTGCTCTGCTGGACAACAAAGATAAGGTGCAATTCCAGCAGGATGTGGGAGAATTCCAAGCAGTTTTCTTTCATGAAAATTCAATCCTGGGAATAATGAAAATATTTTCTGTTCTCTAAGAGGAATGTAGAATACCTGAGGAAGGAGACAGACACATTGATAGTATCATCAAGTTGCTGTTTGCTTGCTATTATTCTCTTGGTCAAAAAAGAAAATAAATTTTAAATATAGCTTCTTCTTTTGACTTATATGTTCATTCTTGCTTACCTTCTTATCTAGAGTAAAATAGAGGATCAGAGAAAATTGGATATGGCTCAAAAGGTTCTTTTGAACCAATACCAGAAACTTCACTCTTTTGATGTTTAGAAGCAAAGTTCCTTAGCTGGGCTTTGAATCCTAATGAAGCTCAGGCACATTAGGATTTAGAAAAAACATTTTTACACTTGTAATCTTCTTAATTCATAGACATATGATCAAGCTAACACCATAAATAATTCCTCTGTGTATTCATCAGGGACGAATTTGGTTCCAGATTTTATAGGGCTCACTTAGTACCCTCTTCTGGATCAGATCTTCCTTATAATCATGGTCCTCTTGTTTTGTCTTGTACTTCTGGAGAATACTTGAAGAGGAAAGGCATATTGGATTAATTCTGCAGCATATCTTTTGTGCATTTTAAGGAAAAGATATGCTAGCCATTCAATAGACTTATTTGATTAAGAATAGTGAGGAGAGCTCCATGACTTTTTAAAAAATTTTTTTAGATATTATGGATCTTTATTTTATTAATATATTTATATGTGGTGCTGAGAATTGAACCCAGTGCCTCACACATGCTAGGCAAGTGCTCTCCCACAACCCTAGCCCGCTCCATGACTTTTCAAAGGCATGACTACTGCTTTGTGTAATTTGTGCTACCGTTGTCTATCCTTACTTATGAGAATTATTTCACTGCCTATGAGATTTTAATGGAGTGATTAGGAATAAGCTTTTGAAAGCTACCTTTTTTAATATCACTCACAATGGCATTAGTGTGGAACCAGATATAAGACTATATAGGTAGATTAGTTCTTGCTTTTTTAGCCAAATTGTTTTATGCTGGATCAGTATTGTACCTTTCTTGTGCTTTGCTTTTTTTTATTTTACAGGAAAGAGAAAACAAAAGCTACTTTAGTTCACTAGCATCCCGGAGGCTCAGTAGCACAAATGACATTGAAGAAAAGGAGAACAGGTAATCATAGCACAGACCAGAAGATGGTTTCCTTTAACTCTTCTGGGCATAATGATCTCGTGGCCATTATACCTCTGCCTTCTTCCTGTAGGTGTCCTTAGCACGTTATGAATTATTTGTTCCTTCTTCTGAGAATGCTTCCCAGCCCATCTAGATGTTACTGTTTGTAGGACATCCTCCCTGGCCCTTCCAAATTGTGGGTTAGTTTTATTCCCCTAGCAGGCTCTATAAAGATAGGGTCCATGTCTGTGTGATTGCTCAAAGACCTCTAGTGCCTAGCATTCTGCTTATCATATAGAAAACACTAAAAATATTATTTACTTGGTCAATGTATAATTTGTAAGTAGATAAAATTTAAAGTCTTCCTCACCAGTTAAAAGCAATACAGGGATTTTGAAGTACTCCTGCATCTCAGGGCAGAACCTAACCTAGAACCTTTCTTCTCACAGTATGGTCCTCCACCCACAAAAGATGGAATGTCTGTGGATCCAAAATCCTACTACAGCCCCTTCCTTGATGCCTTTTAATTTATAATGCTAACGAGGCCCCCAACAAGTCTTCCTTTCCTTTCTCCTTCTGTAGTAACCTTTTTCCATGGTGGCAGACTTCGTCTTTTTCATCCGTCCCTTCTCTGTTTAACTTATGAGTAACCTACTACTGGGGACTGATTACAGGGTGCTTTTTAAACAAGGAACTAAAGTGACTTCTCTTTACAAAAGGATGAAGGACCTTTGATATGAGGAATTTGGTACCTGTTGAAATTAGTTGGCTTTGAAGTTGTTAGAAGAAAACAGACAGTAATAGTCATCCTTTGTCTGTACAGAAAACAGGTATATATAAAACAGAATCACTGGAAAGATGTATCTGTTTCTTTAGCCATGTTACAGTTTGCTGTTGGCTCTTCTCTCCCCTTGTGCATTGTATCATGGAGAAAACTGATGGTAGGAATCAGTGTTTGGATTGTTTTTCTTTCATGCTTCTACAGAGAGTCAGCTGTTAATCTAGTGAGGAGTGGCTCCTATACTCGGCAGCTGTGGAAGGATGAAGCAAAGGGAAATGAAACTCCACAGACAATTACTCCTTCCACCTATGTATCAACCTACTTGAAAAGGTACCAGGCACAAGGGGTTTGGGAGATGATTTTCATTCACTTGGCTATGGGAATATGGGTAATAATTGCATGCCTTTTTATATCCAATTAGCACCACAAAAATGAATCAACAAATAAATTGCTTTTAGATTTCTTGGGATTAACATCTTGACTAATTTAAAATTAAAATTAATTTGTTTTCTTAATATCTAAATTAAAGTAAGCTAATTCCAAATTCTTACCAAAGATCTGACTTTAGTCTCTATCCTCTCAGTCCTATTGAAATCTTCAATCAGAAGTGACTTCTAGTCATCACTGGGCAAGACTGAATTTAAAACACCCTTGTCCAACAGCTGGTTTTTCTCTTTCTAAAACTAGAGTATTTTTCATCGTGTTATGTTTTTGTGGGGAGGAAAGGGGGGACATGGTAGGGTGGTAAAGGGTGGGAAATGGGAACAGTTTTCTATTGCATTAAAGAAGTTTCATGTTAAAGCCTGTTAATTTAGGGACTTGAGTTTTTTTTTTTTTTATGACTTTAATGGCCCTCAGATCCATCAAGATGTGAAACTCGCAAGTTTGGTGCAGAGAAGGTACATGGGTTTCCTTCTTTTTTTTCATCTCTATTCCCTTTTCTGCAATTATTTTCTTTGCCACGTATTAGCCAGCAAGCAAAGCACCTTTGCCAGAACCATTAAGCTAGCTCTAAGATATACTTAATTAATTTTTTAATTTGAACTTTGCTGCTGATGTGGAAGAATCTGTTTTTCACTGCTTACTTTGAATTCTTTCTTCACTTCCACTTAACCCCTCCAACTGCCTCTTCATGCCTTCATTAGGTTTCCTAGATGGCTGGTTGGTTACCTTAGAAACAGGCTTTGGCCATAGACTATATGGGCAGATTAGCTGTTTGAGATCAAAATTTATTTCCATTTGGCAGGAAGATTTGTCAAATAGTTAATGTCAGAACACAGGAAATAATAAGCTATAAAAGAAACAACCACTGCTTTAATTCTACAGATATAGCCAAAATCGAAAGGGTTCAATTTTGTAACTATACAGGCACAGGTCAGTGATTTCACTGATTCTTTATTGTATATACTAAGTGTTTCTGTCTATGTGAGGTTATCAGCTATTTGTATTAATGGCAAAGGCCTAGATAGGTTATTATTCCTCACAGTTGAAATCAAATTCAAGAAAACTTTTCTCAGAAGATAATGTTCTAGATATAGAAAGGGGACAAAGCTGCTATTTTGTTTTCAGGCATGGAGTTATTTTGTGCCAAGATTGCTGATTTCCTTGATCCATATCATTAGCAAATGGGTTGAGTGGCATTTGGTTTGATAGATGTAGTCTGGCAGGTTACAGTGAACAGAAAGGAAAGTGCTGCTTCTATTTAGAGTGGAAAGTGTGCTTAATTATGAGAGTACTTTTTGAGAAAAGATGTACAACTTGCTTCACACCTTGGATTTCCAAAGCATATCTTCTGTAACCCTAAGGCACCTTTTGATTTTATAAAATCTTCTCTTATGATCTTTTCAAGAAGAAAGAATTCTGTGCCATCACCATTTTCAACAGAAAAGAAAAACAGGAATTTCTCGTTCCCCGGCTGTGCCAGGCCTTGGTATACTTTTCTTTTCTATGTCATCTCTTGTCTGTATGTAGGCAGGAATCCATTTGGATGGGACCCAACAAAAAAGCCTCTTTTCCAGAGAAGGCTGCATAGCCCTTTTTAATCACCCCCTCAAGTGTGTCATTACTATTATAGTTAGGAAGTATTTTTTTTWAATTCTAACCCAAGTAACTTTTTGCTGCAGTTGAGATGGTTCTTACCTATCTTCACTGGAAACCAAGAAAAGTTGCCTTTTGTTTCCCATACAACATTACTTTCTAGACTTCAAACTTCAAATCCTTCCAAAGGCATTTTGGCTTTAAATTAAATAACTGCAGTTCTCAAAGGCATTTTTTTCAGAATTTCTTTACTCCTGTCCACTTTTTTATTTTAAAATTTGAAAACCTCTCCAAATTCCCTCATCTTACTTTGGCTTTGCAGTGCTGCTTCTATATCAGGTAGACATTTGGGATTGCATGACTTTTTTGACTTGGGTTTGTTGGGACTTATTGTTTCTAATAGAGTTATTCTGTTTCCTATTGTTACCCTTTCTGAGCTTCTACTCTTGTCATATATTCTACTTTCTGGCTTTTCCTTGTTAAATATCATCTCTCCTCCTTCACATTCCTTCACTCTTTTGGATGACTGACCTAAAGATCATTCTAAAAAGAGTGATGATTGCTTCACTCTTTCCGGTGATCACCTGCTTGCTGCCAGTGTCCCAGCTCCAGCTGGAGTTGAGCACTCCATTTCCCAGTTGCCATGCCCTCTCTTTGGTCTATATTCCTTTCAATTGAACAATCTGGGAATGTGGGAAGGTGGTGCTGGGAAATGGTGGGTGAGCAGCATGTCCTGAAGAAAGTGACTGTGTGCTATTTTGCAGTGCTTCATTTGGTAGAAGTAGTGACCCCACAAGTCCCTACATTTCAGCCAATCGCAATTCATCTCCTGCTACCTCACCCATTACCATTGGTTCATCTACCTCTCAGGGCAGCCAGTGGCAACCTGCCTCTTCTTGCCCTGCACCAATCAGTGCAAACACTACTGCATCTGTACACCATGGCAGGTAAGGCTTCTTGGAGCCATTTGAGTTGCATTCTTCAAAGTTAATACCTCTGGAAACACATGAGATTTGAACTAAAGAGACTTTGTCACTGAGGTGGAAATATGAATTCCTGTGAAAATTTCCATAACTTAATGGAGATGCTTTTGTTTTGGCTTTTCTTAGCCAGTTAACCATTGCTTAATGAATAACATAGGATATGTATCATTGTATTTGGGATTCAAGGATCAACTTAACATGATTGCTTTTATCTCTCAACAATTTTACCAGTTCTGAGTACAATTTAATGGTTATACCTATTGCAGTAAATTAAGTATTTAAAATATTCTTATATTTTAACTTTCTAGTAATTATGAGTGGGAGTTTCTTGTTGTTTTGGAAGATGGAAGATGGCATACAAACCCAGATAAGAAGGAAAGCTATCTGATATTCTAAAAGCCTCTTACAGCCTTCTAAAAATTCCCAGCCAATGAGAATGTTTTTCTGGGAATGCTGTGGGAAAGGAGAGATTCGGGCTTGTCTACAATGTTTGGGGACAGTATCTCCTTGGTTTCTAGTTTATCTAAGGGATTCCATGGGCAGAGTTTCATTGTGAAAGTATGGCAGCACTTTAGCTGTGGTTTTAATTATGGTTCTTTAATCTTTTTCATGTGGTCAGAGACCTTTTTGCTTTTGAGGTATAATTTTTGTGGGTCTTGTCCCTACGGGTGACACAAAAGAAAATGTAAAATTATTAATGAAGACATGTTGTAAGAACACCAGTTAGAGTGGTGATTATTGATACTTGTCAGTTTACTAGATTTCTTTCCTGAAAACAAGTAGTGATTATTAATTTGACCAGAAAGGATAAGATCATGATGGGTTATTATAGTACGGTATAATTATGTAGAAATTCATTAGGTTCTCATAATAATCCAGTTATTTATAAGGAGGGACAGGCTTATGTCTGATTAATAAAAATAATACTGTATAACTATGTAGAAATTTATTGGATCCCATAATTATCCAACTATACAGATATGGTAATTATTATCATCATAGATGAAGAAGCCAAAACACAGATAGGTTACTTGATTAACTATTAAGAACTGACATTGGGGAAAAGTAAATATAGACATCATTTTTGAACCTTATTATGTGACAGGCATTGGCTCAGTGACTATACACAAATTATATTGAGATTTGCTTTACTCACATATAATAGTGCCTTAAATAAGATAAAGGTTTATATCCTTTTCTTGTAGGAAGCACAGAAATAGTCAGGGCTAACCTAATAGCTCTAAAGTCATTAAAGGATCCAGATTTTTTTCAGTGTTTCTACTCTGTAATCTTTACATCATGGCATCTATTTCTATGGATTGACTCAGTAAACAAAATAACTGCTGGGGCTCTAGCCATTATGGCTGCAATGAAGGGAGGAAGCAGGAGGAAAGAGGGAAGCAGCAGGGATGGAATGCCTCTGAACCGAAAACTTTCTCAGAACTACTAGTTTTCTGTTTATATCTCCTTGGATATCTCCAGTTTATAGGGAGGCTTTAATAGGTACATTGGTAGATGTAGATGTTTAATAGGTACATTGCTGTCCTCAATGATATAGGGGTACTGTTAGTAATGAACAATGGATATGGCTTAGGCAACTAGCCATCTTAAGTACACATATTATTTATAGTTTCATAAAGAGCTCCCCAGTATATGTGCTATTTGCCAAATTATATTGTTTTGTAGTGTGCGTGTATGAATATGTAACAATACCTCCTACCATTATATACAATTAAAATAATGCACCAATAAAAAACATGGGAAAAAAGAGCTTCACGGTTGATTAAGTATTATGTTATAGATGAGGAAACGGAGACCAAAAGCTTAGTCATCTGCCCATCATCACACAGCTAGTAAGGACCTGAGCAGGATTTGAACGCAGATTTGTCCATTTCAAAGCTCTTATCCATTTTGTCGCTGTTTTGTTTCCAGTGAATTTATATTTTATCCCAGGTACTATTTTAGGAGTTCTGCAGCACTGTTTAGTTATCACAAGAATCCTGCATGTAAAGATATCATTATTCCTATTTTATAGATGAAGAAGAGATCAGACAGTAAATTACCTTAAACCCAAAGCCTATATTTATCCTACTCCATTGTACCAACTTTGATTCCTGCTCTAGAGTTTTTCCTAGTCTCTTATCTTCTTGTGAAATTATATCACATTTCAAAATAATAGTAAAAATTCTGTTGTATGATTTAATAAAATTACATCTCTGATATTTTAATAGCTTAAGAAATGCAGAGAACAAAATATGTTATTAACCTAAAAAAAAAAAAACCTTAAGTAAGGTATGAAAAACCTTACCTAATGGGTTTTTATTGTTGTTTGTTTGTTTGTGTTTTGAAACGGGATCTCATTGTGTAGCCCAGACTGGCCCTGACCTCCTGAACTATAGGTAGCTAGTCTCCCAAATAGCTAGGACTATAGATGTGTGCTGCCATGCCTATAATTTTTCATAAATGTGTTTTTAATTTTATTAGTACTCCCTATAGATTAATAAGTTTGGGGAATTATTTACCTTTAATTTTTCAAATTAGAAAATGAATAAAAAATTACACTTCTGGAAAAGTAGCTTATATTTTTTAGATACCACTTCCATCTTTAAAAGTATTCTATTTTTACATTTGTATCTAAGTACCATAATAGATTCTTATCCAATTATTTCTTTTAAGCTTATTCTAATAATTGATTATTTGGAAGTGAACTTATAGCTACTTATAAACATTTCTGGTAATAATTGTGAGTGGGTGAAAAACAGATTTTTAACATTCATGCTTTTCATTGCTTTTGCCATCTCTGTATCAATTTTGGATCTCTGTTACCCCAGCAACAAGCTGTGACATCACAAATGATAGCATTTTGGGTGGAGAGCCAATGGTTGCTCCTAACTCTTTGTTAAGAAACAAAGATCTTGTTTTCACATAAATGAGTTTAATTATACAGCTTGCTGTTGAAAAGTCTGTAGCTAAGGTTACATACAGAATTCCTATTCGGTTTTTGTTTTAATTTCTCCCTTGTGCAGTTACGAATACAGACAATTAGGCATTTTGTTAAATGAAAAGAGACTGCAGTTGCTGAACTAGGTGAGGGAGAACTAAACATACTGAGGTTGTAGAGTATTTTTCAAATGGATAATTCAAGAAGATGGTCATCAAATCTAGACTGAGGACTACCACAAAGACTCCCACTGCCGAGAATTGAGGGACAGGTGGAAACTAATATCGTAAGTGACTTTAGTGTCTTTCTCCTGTGTAGCAAGACACTGTCTCTGTGTGCATGTGTGGAGGGAGGCCAGATGGTAATGAGGAGTCATTTAAAGCACTCTTGCATATGTCACTTTGCTTGGTACCATATAGCTAATTTTTGTTTTTGTTTTTTGATCTCAGACAAAAAAATAATAATAATAAAATTAAGTGTGAGTCCTCAGGCAGAGGATGTCCAACTAAACATGTAATTACACTGTTCTAAGATTTAAGAGCTCAGAATTAACAAATCAACAAACAAAATCTGAGTAAGAAGATTCTGTAGTTAGCCCTCTCTAACCTTCCTGTCTCTGAGCCAGTGCTTTATGGTATTGCAAGCTGACTATTCTTCTGCTCATTTCTCTTTTGATTTCAGGACTCCTTACAAATCCCAGGCTGACTCTACAACAGAGAAGACAGCAGAGGGTGTCTCTTGTAGCACCCCGCTCTGTGTGATCACCAATCGTCCTCCACCTAGCWCTGCCAATGGGGTCACAGCTGCCACTGTGCTCTCCTCTACTGGAACAGACTCCTCTGTGGAAGCAAGGGAGAAGAGGAGGTATGTTAGGTTACTCTTTGCTTTGTGGGGGATCTGTTTTTAATTAGGAGATAAAGCAGTAGGTGTGAAGTCTTTTCCCCAATTACAAATAAATTTTTGGAAATAGATCTTAATTTTGGGTTTTGTCTTTTGACTCGGAGGTTTTGGTGGTGATCTTAATTATTTTTTATTATTTAACATAAACATTCTATTATGGGTATAGTTAATTTTTTTTCTATTTGTCATGTGAGACATAGTTGTCAGGCATTATTTCTATATTTTGTGATGGGGAACCTGAAGAGTAGTGAAATATCTTTTGTTCTGGGTTGTTCATAATGACTTCTCTGTCAGGGAAGACAGTAATAGTCTGATAAAACTCTTGAAGAATAGAGGTAGGATATGTATTTCTAATGAATTTGAGAATTATACCACAAAAGGAACTGAGCAGTATATGATGATATGGTAGAAGGATAATCATTGGCTAGTCTGTATTTTCTTTAGAAATAAATTGTGAAAGAGCAGTTGTATATTCTCAGGGTAGAAGCTAAAAAGAACTTCTTAATTGTTAGGATTATGAATCTTAGGGACCAAGGGAGAAGTATAAAACATAGAATAAAAGAAAATAAAAAATTTTTTTAAAGAAAGGTGGAAATTTCTCTATTTGGAAATTTCAGAACTACTTAAAAATTAGAAAAGAGTGAAATCTTATCAAAATTTAGATTTCAGTTTGACTTAATATTATTTTGAATTTCAAAGGCAGGAGATTTTATAACTGACTGTGTATGTACATGTAAAAAAGTCCAAAAATCTTATCATCTAGCTGGATAAAGTGGAAGATCTTTAAGATACAAAAATAAACCAGGCACTGTGGCACATGTCTATAATCCTAGTGACTTGGGAGGCAGAGGAAGAAGGATCGAAAGTTTGAAGCCAGTCTCAGCATCTTTTAAGGCCCTAAGCAAATTAGGGAGACCCTGTCTCAAAATAAAAAATTAAAAGTGTTGGGGATGTAGCTCAGTGGTAAAATACCTCTGGGTTTATTCAATCCCCAGGACCAAAAAAAAAAAAAAAAAGCATCTATGAGACATAATAAGAATTGAACTTTTTAATCATTTTAAAACCAGTTTTAAAATACACTTTGAGAAGTAAAGGGAGAAAGATGTTAAATGAGTTAGAAAATAGTATTTTTTTAACATGAAAATTGAAGAAAACTAGTTATCTTGGCAAATAAGTTTTAGAGTGAAGAATTGTCCTCCTTTGCTTGACTGCTAGACAAGGAATATGAATAAGTCCCTCAAATATTTAATGCTTACATATTTACTAGCTCAGATGTAATGCAGGTATTATTAGTTTCATCTAGAAACTAAATGCAACTTGAATCAAACTGTGAAATATGATATATTAAGAACTATGTAATGTTTTGAACGACCAACAATAAAAAAAAAAAGAAACTAAATGCAAAAGTAATCTTTTCATTAGCTGAAAAAAACCACCTCTCTTTAAAAAAATTTGAGCTGAGAAATTTAAAAAATTAAGTTCCTCGTTAAGATCATGGTCCCTAAAAAGATGGGGAAATTGGGTCTTTTATCAGACTATTTTTTTAAGGATCTAGTTAAATGAACTATTGTTTAGAGAAACTTAGATGGTTACTGCCTTCTGGGAATTTTATAACCTATAATAAATAAGAGCACTTGCTATAGATTTTTTATTTTATTTTAGAAGTTTTATCCGCAGATATCTATTGAGTATAAGCTATGTGCCACACAGGATTACCAGGTATATTTCCTCAAGAAGCAGTAGCTATATGAATAAAATTATTAAGTCAGGCTATTAGTGATTTATAAGATAAATATGGTGTATCTAATAGAGGCCATGATAAGAACATTTTAGGAATGGCACAATAGATAAATAGGGAGACATTAAATAAAGAGGCACTTCATATATACTAGTACTTATTCTTTTCAAAATATTCATTGAATATCTGCCAGTTTCCAGGTACAAATATGATCTGAGCCCTTGGAAAACATGCTAGAGACAAAGACAAAGAAATGTTAAACAACGATTAAACTTATAGTACATATAGACTAAGCATCCCTAATCTGAAAATCCCAAATTTGAAATACTGCAAATTTAAAATGTTTTGCGTGCTGACATGACATGACAAATGGAAAACTCCTCACTATGAAACTTTGTTTCATGCACAAAATTATTTTATACATTGCATAAAATTACCTTCAGGATGCATTTATAAAGGTCCATATGAAATTCAGCTTAATTATAATCTCCTTTAATTATAAAAACTTTCAGTAAAATTATGAGAAGTACAGTTCCCTAATCCAAAAATCTAATCTGAAATGCTCCAGTGTCTAAAACTTTTAGAGGACCAACAAGATGCCACAAGTAAAAAATTCCATACCTAACCTCATCTGACAGGTTGCAGTCAAAATACAAGTGCACTAAAAAATATTGCATAAAATTTCCTTCATGCTATGTGGAAAGATGTATATGAAACAATAATTTTACATTTAGACTTGAGTTCCATCTCTCAGATATCTCATGTATATACAAATATTCTAAAATTAATTTTTCAAAACCCAGTCACACTGGTACTATGCCTTTTGGATAAAGGATCCTCAACCTGTTTCATAAAGAGGTAATATGAGTTGTTATAACAGTGTATGACAGAAGATTTAGAAGACTTTCCTTCTCCTGGAGGATCAAAGAAGAAGGCTTTCATAGGGTGTGATGCTCAAACCAAGATTTTCAGGATAGGTAGCAGCTAGGTGCAGTTTTCAGACACTAAGATGGGAAGGCATTTTGATCCTTTGGAGAAAATGAAGGATGGCATTGTGAGTCAATGCAGAGTGAGGGAAATGGTATTCTAAGATGAAGTTTAAGGAGTAGGTAGGAGCTATATAATGCCAGATTTTATAGCCAAAGGTAAGGATTCTAGATTTATATGCTAATAAGCATGATAATCCATTTGAAGAATTTTTGAAACAGCCAGTCACAAAAGTATCAAGGTTACAAGGCCAAAGAAAACCTCTCTCCTGCCCTTGAGGATCTTTAATCTATCTGTTGTGGGAAGGCATATAAGCAAATCAACTATTACAGTACAGATTTTAAGTRCCTTGATAAAAGTATGAATAGATTGCTATAGGACTGAGGCAGAGGGAAATCTGATTTAGACTGAGTGGGGTGGCTGGAAAGCCTTACCAAAAAAGGTGACTGGAGTTGAACTTTAAAATAAAAAAAGGTAGAAATTAACTAAAAGTACTAATAAGAGGATGGTATTTTGCAGAAAACCCAAGAATTTCAAGAAACAGTAAGTTCACTATGTCTGAAGCTAGAGGACAGGAAGGCTAGTGTAACATTTTTAAAAGTGTCTTTTATGAAATAGATTTAGATGAAGGGGGAAAAGAAAGGCATTGAGTGGCCAAATTAATTTGGAAAGCAATGGGTAAAACAAAGTTAAACGGGATCACTCTGAAGCCTTCTCAGGGTCATTCCTCTGTAGGAGGTGGGGGGGGGTGTGTAGAGTAGAGTTTAGGAATAGTTAGAATTTGCAGCATTGTCTGAATTTTTTGCCTGTAGAATAGGTTCTTTTCCCTCAAAGGAATATAAGATTGGTATTCTACTGCACATACTTTGGAAATTATGGAGAAATGTAGTCAGGAACCAAATCATGTAGATTTTTGTCTATGCAATGCTAAGAAACTTGATCATCTTCTATTCTCAGAGCTATGGAATATCACTGAAGAATTTTCAGCAGGAGAATGACTTGATCAAATAAAACACACCATTTAGCCTTTACAGAATTAAAGCCACTTAGTTTCTCCATCTAGACATGCTTAAGCTGAAAGAAAATAAAATGAGATGTTTTGAAAACAGCTAAATTTTCCTTCTGAAAGAACATGCTGTGTGCTAATTCTTCTCTTTGAAGCTGCAGCTTTCTCTGTAATCAGCTCATTGTGGAAATATCTTGACTCCTGCTGAGAAACCATGATGAAGGCCTGAAGCCTGTGTTCACAGGTCCAATTTGAAACAATTAGTGAGCATTGGGATAAATGGGGCTTTGAAACTGGCCACAGCAAGACATAACTAGTGGAAAGTCATCTCTCAGAAATAATCTCCATTTTCCACTGTGATTAGAGCACTTGGACCTGGAGAATGGGTCTTACCATTAAATTTCACAGCTGGCTCTCCTTTGCAGAGAAGGTTTTGTTCCAAGAGGGGATAAGTGAGTATGTGTATACAGTTGGTCAAAAATCATTCTCAACTTTACACCCTCTGGTAACAGATCTTTATTCAGTTTGTTAACTACAGATATATTGTTATATGAACAAAGCTAGTTATTAAAGGATACATTATGATATTAGATAGTAGTAAATATGGAATGGTGAACACTGGGTTTTTTTTCGGGGGAAGGTTCTGGATGGTTTTTAATTTTCTTTTTCTATAATGTCCTGTTTTGCAAGATTCCAGTAAATCACCAAGTCGATCTTAAAACAGGAGACGGAACATTTTATTCACCAGCTGGAGGGCCAAGGGCTAGGCTGCAAGTCTACACCCTTTGACCCCCTCCAGGAGTTAGAGTACACTTTTTAAAGAATGTCAGTACATAAATCATAAGTGTCTGTTGCTATGATTCAAGACTGTAAACAAAAATCATGAGATCTAAAATCATAAGCAGAAGGGGAAGCGGGTCAAAATGACCCTAGGTTGAGTACAAGTTAAGGAATGGTTTCTAATGTTTAGACAAACATTAACATTCTATGCGGTTAGGGTACATTGCACAAGTACAGTGTATAAGAATAGAAGGAACAATTTTGCTGTTTTGCATTGCCAATATGCTATGCTAAGCAATTGTCAAGTAGGTACACAGGTGGGGTCTTCCCATGGGAGAATGATTTCTTACATGACATGGAGTCTCAAGGTAAAATGGAGTCTGTTTGGTCATTGTCCATATAGCCTGACCCAACAGTCCAAAGTTCCAGAGTGATAAAGTATTACTCTTAAAA